TATCTGGAAGGGAGATCGTCACATAATTTAGCCAATGAAATCAAATGTCCACTATGCTGGTCCATATTATTTGGGATTTGTACATTTGGGATGTACAAAGTAATTTGGGATTTGGGATTCTTGATTTTTTAATTTGGGCAGCACCTATAGTTTTGTTGTAGAAAGGCCTTTTATAGATGGGGAGTAAAACGTAGTCATTTTTTTGGGAATAATATATTTTTTAGTGGTACGCATATATAAAGAATAAAATTAATTCTTTAAAAATTTATGATAAGTTTTTTGAATTGTTGAAATACTACATAATAATAATAAAAAGTGAGATTGTGTGTGACATGGCATAATGTCATGTGACCAATGTCTTTAAATTTTATGTGCTCAAGTAACAATCAACCTGTATTATTACTATTAGAAATTCAGTCATCATCATCATTTTATCTTCTTCCATCATTTTATTTCTCCATTTTATAATTACCATAAATATTAACTTGTGCATTTTGTGGAAATTCCTTGCTTGATCTTGTATAATCAAATGTGGTTTTGTATTTTTGCAGGCTCATCTCACATTCACATATGCTACAATATTTATCCAACCAATTCTTCATAACAGCATTCAAGAGAATATCTATCATCCATTAGCAAGCAAGCTAGTCCTTCTCGATTCTTGAATACCATTTTAGCTTGCCAATAAACTCAAACAGAAGAGTTGAGTGTTCTTTAGTTCAGGATTGATCCCCAAAAGAAGTTAATTTGTTTCTTAAGAAGAGATTTGCTAATTGGGAAATGCTAAAAGAGTTTTTGATTTGAGAAGTATAAAGTGACAAGGGATACATTGTTAGGATTGAAAGCTAAAGATCTGCACAAAGTAGGGTTACCATTTCTGGTTGCAGAACACCATTAAACGGTTAAAAAAAGAAAGATGTATGGTGTAAAAATAAACACGTAGTTGCATACAATTTAGAACACATTGAATGTTCACCAATGATTTTGTAACAAACATGTTGGTTGATCGGATAATGGTTCACAGCCATGATCTCATGCGCCTGAATCAAGAATCAACAGATAAACATAGATCTCAAATTGAGGTGCATTTGTTGGTTTGAACTTAAAATTGTTGAACTTTTCATTAAAAAAACCAATGCAAAAACATGTTTTCTTGCCATAAAAAAAAAAAAAAAAAAACTCAGAAGGTCCAAAATCATGTTTTATTGTCAATTTTTACAACAATTAGTTTAAAAGTTAGTTGTTAAGTAATTTCCGGCCAATTAAATCATTAAAAAAATTTTGTAATTTTGGTTTTTCTTATCCGATGATTCTTGACGTTTTTGATGAGCGTACCAGTACACAAAAAAATAGATAATAATAATAATTAGATACATGTGAAATTTCTGACATTCCGATACGTGTTAATTATTTATTCAAATTTTAAAATTTAATTTGTGGCTATGGAAAAAAAGTAAACAGGTTTTCGCAGATCACAAATTTATAAAAAAATCACCTATATAAATGAACTACGCTCCCTCCTCCCTCTCTTCTCTTCTCTTCTCTCTTCTCTTCTCTTCTCTTCTCTCTTCTCTTCTCTTCTCTTCTCTGCAAGTTATAAGAAATTAAACCTTTGCCGTACGACTCTAATACGCCAGAATAAGAAAAAAATGCAGATCTGATTGAAATATGGAAACGATTTCAAAAATCAGCAAAAAAAATTACGAGTTTTGGCAAGCAATAGTGACACGACGAGCATTCAATC